AATTGGAATTAACATTTTTCCAAGTGTGCTAAGGTGCTACTGGTACTGCTAAAAAAAACAAAAAGAGAGAAAAAGGTGACTCTACATCCTATAGATATTTTAGTAGTTTACTTGCTTTTCTAGTATTTTAGGAGTGGAAACAGCGCTGCCATGGCTCAAACAAATAGAGAACTCAAAAATGTGTTCTGTGCACACTATGACTGTTAAATTGCCGTAAATCCTAAAATAAAAACAAACTCTAAATGTATTTGTCTGTTTTTCAAAAATTCAACAAATTCTCGAATCAGCATGTGCAACATTTTTGCCCACAGTGCTCACAGGTGTTACTCATGTTGGGGAAGAAATGGTGACTCTTCATGTGATAGATGCTTTACTACTTACATTTATAATTTAACTTTTAACTGAACTTTCCTCATGTGACTTTTGAATGCACCTGAGACACTAATGGTTTATTGATTGCACTGAGGTGCTCAGAATTTTATTTGTTTTTTTTTGCAGAATCTGGTCCAAATGAGACATGGTTTAAATGATTTTAGGCTATTGTTTTGTTCATTTTCCCCAGTGGAAACAAAAGTCACACATAATGTTTCAGGGTTGTGGAAAATCTGAGCATTTTGTCTGTTTTTACAGTTTAATGCTTTGATAAATGGTGGAAGCTGTTCTCCCACCTTCATCCACTCTTTCTGGGAGGATAATTCAGTTCACTCCAGCACCAACCACTTCACCTACTGATCTGAAATGTTGCTGTGCTCATCTGTCCCTCTGCAGGTCATCATCCTGAACCACCCCGGGCAGATCGCCCAGGGTTACGCCCCCGTGCTTGACTGCCACACCGCTCACATCGCCTGCAAGTTCAGCGAGCTCAAGGAGAAGATCGACCGTCGTTCCGGCAAGAAGCTTGAGGACAACCCCAAGGCTCTGAAGTCCGGAGACGCTGCCATCATCACCATGGTGCCTGGAAAACCCATGTGTGTTGAGAGCTTCTCCCAGTATCCCCCACTGGGTGAGTAAAACACTGTCTGTCAAGAAACGATGTCCTCAGGCTATCCTTTACAGCTACACTAATCAGTTTTTTTCATGTTGAAATGACTGAATTATATTAAATGTCACCAGACTCTACAGTTACTCTCAAAAATGCCTCTTTCAGTGAATTGTGTTGGTTTTCTGGCCTGCTCTCCTCAGCCTCAGCAGGCTTAAAGCTCTCAAAAAGCCACATTGGGACAGTTGTGCACCTCAAATCGAACGACAGACAGTTCGAGACTAGCTGGTGAACATGGTGGATCATTTAGCAGCTGAAGAACTAGATACTTTACTTAGGGGATGGTGGGAAGTAAATATTTGACTTTCATTCATCAGACAGACACACGACTCATAATATTGATGTGTCTGTTTTCTTGTAGCTTCACCATGACATTTTTGGCTTGTGGAAGGTGGCCAAAAGTGCAATATAGCAAATTATTGCAGCATTTTTTTGTCTTGCATTTTGCATTTTGACAATTTTTTGAATGTCATTTTATATTTTACAAAAAGAAAGAAAATAACCTTTTCTTCATACTCTAACCAATTCATACAATTTAAAATTTTGTGTACATATATGTTCAACCTGGAGTCATCATATGCAACATTCTCCCAAGGGCCCACATGTTATCAATACTGGAAAAAATGGCGACTCTACATACTGTAGATTTATTGTAACAACATCTACGAAGCAACCGTGTTTTGCATTACCCTGGACCTCAAAATGTTTCACCATGATGAACGTGTCCTCCAACAACTTGCTTTTCTGAATACTGTTTTTGAGCTCTGCTGCATTCATTTTTATTTATCCAGCATGTTTTATTTTCCTCTCAGTCTCTCTTGATATCTCCTAAAGTCCCAACATTTTGGGACACATGACTGTTGGTCACAACTAAGTCAGCTATGGTTTCCCAGTTGTGCTGAGCAGCACAGAATCTTTAGTTTTTTATAGAATCTCTTAAAAATGTATTCTATTTTTGGTTTAAAAAAAAAAATTTAGGGGTTTTAAAAAAAAAAACTAATTGTGATGAAATATAAAGATTTTAAGGTTAGATGTGGTTCATTTTGTTCCCCGATGGAACTGCACGTTGTACAGAAATACTTCAAAGGCGATTGCAAACTTAGAAGTCCAACAATTCTTTCTGTTTTTACAGTTTCTGGCTCCGTTAAAAGGTATAAGGCAGGTTTTGGGCTTCAGAGGGTTAAGATTCGGAGCCCTTGATTGTTGTAACTCTGTGATTTATTTAGAATTTTTTCTTTACTCCTATGAATTTGTTGCTGACTGCGACACTTTAATTTAAATTCAGAGGTTTTGTTTTTAGCCTCTCACTGAATCCTCTGTTTCTGTTTCCTCACCCATCTCTTCCCCTCAGGTCGCTTTGCTGTGCGTGACATGAGGCAGACCGTCGCCGTCGGTGTCATCAAGTCCGTCGAGAAGAAGGCCCCCTCCGGCGGAAAGGTGACCAAGTCCGCACAGAAGGCCGACAAGAAGAAATGAATCCTCATGCAGGACGTCCAACGAACAGTCACGTCTCAGCAGCGGGACGCCACATCCCCTCCTCCCCCCTGCCACCCAGCGCCGTCAGCTCTGAGGCACAGCTCTCTACTCAAGGACTGGCTTATGCTGATTAAAACCCATCGGAAAAGTTTCCGCAGGAAAGGAAGGTTTGTGCCTTCCAGGGGAAACTATGATCATAATTAAGTTGAAACCAAAACAATAAAAATCTCAAACATTGCCAAATGAAGACATTTCTTTTGTGTTTATTAAGTGCAAACTGTGGCAGCACTTCTGCAGAAGTAGAAACGCAGCAGCTACAACATAAAGTTTATATTTTTTGGATTTAGGCTGTTTTTTTAATTTTCCTGTACATTATAACACAATAGAGTCCATTTGATTTTTGTTTTAAACTTAGAAATAATCAGAAAATTTATTTATATACATTTCAAAGAAGTCTTTCGTGTTCTGCTGTAGTTTTAGGTAATCCATCAAGTTTATAATTAGGGGCAGTAACTGTTAACTCTTTTGTACGAATCTCAGGCTTCCTTGAATTTTGATGGACTCATCTCAGGTATGTTCAGCTAAACTCACCTGCAGCCGTCGTTCATCTGTTAGAAATAAGGTTCCACCTCAAGTTTCCGGCAGAACATTTCTCACTGTGATAGTGGGAAACGTGAACGTGTGAAAAGTCTCATTGTTATTCTGATCAGAGAGGAGCTCTCTTGGTGTCACTTTGTGGCTGAATGTTTCTAAGGAGCCAGTGCATGGAGCTCTGAAACACTTTGGGGAAGCAGACATGTTCCAGCCTGTGGTCTTTGTGGACGAGGAGCCATAACGCAAACCAAACACCTCAAAGCTATTGTCAGTAGTATCTGGTCAGCTCAGGTGTTTTGAGCTGCTGTACGAATAGACTTGATTTGATCATTTAGACTTTGCCAGCAGTGGGAGAAAAGAGGCATCAATAGGATTGATTGATTGATTGATTGATTGATTGATTCGTGATCTTTATTAAGCCAAGGAAGGAAATAATTGAGATTAGTCCTGTCATTTATGATTGCAGCTATGATTTAAATTTTTTATTTTTTTTTAAACTATAAAAATAACACTCATCAGGTCCAGTACACAAAAGAAAACCCACAAATTATCGCCATTCAACTAAAGTTTGAGCTGTTTGAGTTCCACTGTCACCGAAACAGGTCCAGAGCATGATACTGCCACCACCGTGCTTGATGGCAGGTTTGGTGTTCTTGGGCTTAAAGGCGTCTCCTTCTCTCCTCCAAACATGTTTCTGGTCGTTGTGTTTGAAGGTTAAAAATGGTCAAACAGAGGAAAGTCCTGAAGTGTTTCCACCTGTGAGGAGCACAGTAGGTGAAAGCAGTTTTTCCTAATTTACAAGTGGAATATCCAAGGAAATGCGTGAATACGGTGACCTATAGTTCCAAGTCTTGATAAGCGATGAAAGTAACGTAGTAGTTTAGCTTCCAACACAAGCTATCCTCGCTTACCACTCCCTTTGAGCGGTGAGTCACAGCCACGCTGCCTTCTCAAAGAGGATCCAGTGATGGGTTAAAAACTGTCATATGTCATAAATGTGTCTATAAATATGTACATATGAGTATGCATCAATAATTGTGTACGTTTGTGTGATGACTGCTTTGTGTGACATAACTTTCTTTTTGTTCTCAGGTGTCCTGAGAAGAGAATAACAGCAGGTCTCCATCAAAGCCACAAAAACAACAGAATTAGACCACAATCTGTCAGCAGCTAATTTAAAAAGGGTCCCTACACTTGAATTCACACGTGTTGAACTGCCTTTAAGTTACGCACTTCAAATATGTTCTCATGAATCAGAAGTTATTTAGTCCAGGTAGTTCAGGATGAACACCTACGCAGCCAAGCTGTGAAGAATAGCAAGATACAACAGGACACTGGTGAAACGAGTTGGCCCACTAGGTGTGTGCGCAGTTACATAGGTGTAGCTGGCACGGTTTGTATTCCAGAGCAGGATCAGGTCGATCGATACTGCAGGACTGATACTTGATATGGATTCCTTTAAAAAAAATATATGTAGGAATAACAAAAACATCATAAATGCAGAATGTGGGTGTCAGCTTTACTGTATATTTTCTAAGATTTGTTGCTGGTATTTGCATGTATTTATTTAGATATTTATCATAATTATTATTTTTATTTCAGTATTGTTTATTTATAGTGTTCCTTTAATATACTAGACTACGCTTTATTAACTTGTAGTCATACTGGATGTTGTAATAAGTTTGATATAAATGGTTGGTATGTGTCATGTGATTAAAATTTAAATGTAATGACCTTCTATTTTATATATATATATTTTAAGAGAAGAACCCATTTAGGAAAGGAAATGATAAATATCGGTATAGTTAGAGTATCGGCACTACATTGAATTTAATGAGGTTGGTGTTGCTCCTCCCTAATCAGAGACAGAGGAAGGGTTTATTATCCTCAGGTAATACTTCATGTTCTTTCTTTTTGAGGTGTGCCGAGAGCAGGAGAGACTGAAGCTGCTTCTCAGGTGAGTCAAACCACTGTTACATTTCTTTAATTAACAGTTAACAGTTTCTGTTAATACCAAAAAATAAAAAATAAAAAAACTATGATTCAATCATTCTGGCATTAAAGATAAAAGATCAAAAATTCGTTTTTCTAGATGCACCAAAAGGTGATTTTTGTTTTGTTTTTAGAAAACCAAAACGAAAGATTAAAAGATATTCTTTGGTTTTCTTCATTAATTTTACCATTTTTCTGAGCGTTTCTCAACTCTCTGCGCATGCGCAGTGTGTAGTCGCCAACGGCCGCTGGCAGGTTCGTCTCGTTTGACCTGCTGCGCGCACATGGCGGGACCGCGCACAGCTAAGCTAACAAAGCTGCTGCTACACGACGTTGAGATGATTTATCAGGGAAGGTACTGTTCGAAAAGAGAAATAGTCTTTGTCAGGTTCATGTAATGGTGATAAATAATCCTAGAACTATAGTTTGTGGCTTTCAAAGTTGTCAAACAGTGTACTGGTGACAGGCAGCTAAGGCCTCCACCTTCAAACTGGTAGCTAGCGCTCAGGCTAACACAAGAGCTTAGTCCTCAGCCAGACCAGGTTTAGTTTAACCATTAAAAGTTCAACTCCTGTCTCTGAAATGTAAATTTGAGCATAATGTAAGTCGTTCCTGACAGCACTAATGATACTCAGAATTCATCCAGAAAAGCTTTAAATGTTTTCACAGTATAAACAGGCATTTGTCTGACACACAGTATGTATTATCAACCATCAGACTTTGTTCCAATAAAGTAATCTGGTCTTTTCTGCAGCGGTGGCAAACAGCAGGTATTCATTAAAATCAAAGGACATAATAAAAATATTTATTTATTGAGCACTTTTCAAAATCCAATTTCCAATAAAAACCAGCACGTGCTCAGAAAAGGGTAAAAATGCTGTCACAGAAATAACCGACAGTTTAAAGAACACAACAACACTAATAATTCTGGAGAGGCACTCAGAGAGACTCAGGTGACTTGATTTCGTCAGGCAGATCATTGAAATAGACAAAAGCCCTCTGCCCAAGAATCTCAAAGTGCAAACTGGTGCATACAGTATTAAAATGTCCACAACTTTGAGAAAGGCCACAAAGGACCTTAAATGTGATCTGCGAAGTCTTAAAATATACTGGAAGCCAGTGTAAAGAGGCTAAAATAGGAGTGATGTGATGACATTTCTTGGTTCTGGTCAAAAGTCTTTTAACTGAGTTCTGTACAGTCTGGAGTTCATCAGTAGATTTTTGGTTCAGGCAGGTAAAAAAGCTGTAGAAGTAATCCAAAAATGATAAGAAGAAAGCATGTAAAATAGACTTTGTGTCTTTAAAATGCAAGGCAGACTGTATTTTTCAGAAATTTGAGGAAAATAAATACCTGATTGTACAGTCTTTGTTGTGTGCTGCTCAAAACTCAAGTTATTGTCAAAAACGGACACATTCGGCTGTGGGCGACTTCTGTAGGTCTGTTAATGTTTCTGCCTGCAGTGAAACCTGACATTAACACGTTTCACATTTGTGTGAGTCACGTTGGTAACCGCATTTCAACAGACGTGTCATTATGTTATGCAGTAGATTCATGTGGGTGTACCTGGGCACAAGCCGGGGCTTGATCTACCCCGACTGGGTCGCCTGGATGACAGTGTGAGATGTTGAAATCGGGGCGTAACTACACATTCTTTGTTTTGGGGTCGTATCCCCCTGCAGCTCACAAGAAAAAGAAATTGTATTTTTGGATCTGTCTGTTGTTGTTTCCTGTTTATTTTTTAATTAATTTAATTAACTCTTAATCGGACACTGTCTGTCCTGGAGGCCACCACTGATTCCTGGTCCTGAATGTTTAGAGCAGAGCCTTGCATATTTCTGGCCCTCAATATTTCTTATATTTCTTTACTTCTGGCTCATATCAAAGGCTAGGTGTTATACTTGTTTTACAGTACATAATGTTGATGCACTTCTCACATCATCAGTGATGTTTCCTGGGGTTATACCCAGGCAATCCAGCTGGGGTGGATCAACCCCACCAGCTTGTGTCCAGGTAACACCACCCACGGGTATCTATTGTATAACATATTGACACGTGTTAGATTATCCCTATTCAGGACTTTTGGGGTCTTTTGGACCCCAGGCCATTTGGTTTAGGTGACAGGTATTGTTTGTTTTATTTTTGAAGATTTTTTATTTTTAATATAAAAAGAGGGACATTTGTCATGCATTTGGGGCCAAGAATATGTCAATTTATCAAAAAATGTATTTAACAGTATTAAAGTCTAAAATGAATACCTGCAAATGTTTTGCACATATTCTTTCTTGGGGCCCAGTGGACCCTGAAAGACCTTCTACGTATGGAAACATAGAAGTCCTGAATAGGGTTAATGTCTGAAGCAATGTTGTCACTGAATATATAGCAATTCATGGTTTTGCACAAACATTGGTACTTACTATTTTCCTATACTTTGCCCAACTTTATGAACACAGGTTCTGACAGTGAATATCCAAAAGGTCAGCTGTTCCACACAAATTTGCAAACTGTCTGCGTTGTAAAAGTCAAACATCCAGCCAATCGTGCTGTGACAGTGGGCATGGTGTCGTGAAACTGTGTTCATTTAAACCTTTTTTGGGGCAAAGACATTTAAGTTGTAAAGCAGTTTTTGCAGTTTTAGCCGTTGATTCTACACATGCAGTTTTAACGTCTCAGTGACCATTAAAACTGCAGTTATGGCTCTCTCTCCCCATTCATTGTTAGCCTGAAATAACTGCCAGGGGATGTTACCGAGATAGCCGCTGTTGTGGAAATTTGCTGTAACAAAACACTTTGCTGGGTCGGTGGTAGATTTAATATTGTATACAATATGAAGAATAACAAAAATAAAACAAACATGGTTTCTGAAATACAAAAGTTTGCTTTTTTTCCCCAATTTCCTTGCAGAAACTACAAAAATGGGAAAGGAAAAGATCCACATCAACATCGTGGTCATCGGCCATGTCGACTCCGGCAAGTCCACCTCCACCGGCCACTTGATCTACAAGTGCGGAGGCATCGACAAGAGAACCATCGAGAAGTTTGAGAAGGAGGCCGCCGAGGTGGGTTTAAGTGTTTTTACCAGATTATCACACTGTGTTGGAGGCAGACATGGAGACAGACTGTCAGTATGAGGGAGGAACGGGTGTGGTGGAAGGAACTGCTCACTGATTTTACTGAGTTAAAAGCGCCACCTACTGTTGAAACGTGTATTGTCCATTCTGCTGCAGCACAACATACAACTGTTAATATTCAGGGTTTCCATCTTACACAAGGGTTTGCATTTTATTTAAAATATTGAGTTTCTAATTTCAAATTGCTTCTGTATAAGCACTGTTTCAAAGGCATTATTAAATGTTGGAAGGACTGGCAACACTGAACTGAAGCAGATAAACAACCTTTTTCACATCGAGCCTAATGCTTTTAAAGAAATATAAAATGTCACAGTGACACATATGTTGCTACCTGCTGGATTCATAGTGTAAAAAAATCGAACAAAATGACTCAAAGCTGTTTCAGCTGTATCATATTAACAGAGGGGAACTTATACACTTTTTGTTGAATAACTGAAAAGTACTCATACTGTAATTTGATATTTTATAGTCTATACTAAATGTTCTAACTTCATGTTATTATAAAGGAAACTTATTTAGTGATTAAATATGGTGTCAGTGCTGATAATCAGGCACAGAAAATGAAAATAAAACAATATTCAATCCTGTATGAGACATTTAAGTAGTTCTCTCGAAATAGAAAAATGAGAATTTGAGCCTCATGAACATGTCATGTGATTTATTTAAAAATATGATCTGTAATAATTTTCATCAACACTGAATTGGGCTCACCAAAACTGGCTCCATCAGACAAATAAGCAAACAAGTTAAGAGTTTGTGTTGCAGCAAGCTGTCAGTAACTAAAACTAGATGGTTGAAATTATGTCCAGTAACAACTGTTCTTTGTTGTTTTGCGGCACTCAGAGTTAAGTCGTTGTCGAAACTTTCGAAGCCGACATTTCAATGGAAACAGAACGGCTTAAAGGGCAGATTACTGTGCCATTCCTTTAGGCGTTTATGCCAAATTGAACCTGCTCCTGCAGTGGAAAGGCACCAATTTCTTTTACAAACAATCATCAACAATTTCTGCATGTTGTACCTTCAAACCACGTCCGGTTCAATAGATGGGAAAGGGGTCCTTCAAGTACGCCTGGGTGCTGGACAAACTGAAGGCCGAGCGTGAGCGTGGTATCACCATCGATATCGCTCTGTGGAAGTTCGAGACC